GACAGCCATTCAGGCAAGAATATGACAGGAAGCAGGAACAGCTGTAATCACTTTCAATCAATGACAGTATTAAACTTAATTTTGTAAGATGTTCCTTAAAAATAGACTTTAAGCAATTGTAGTCCATAATCTATTTATAGAACCATTATAGGAGCTTAGTTACCAAATGTGTTTAATATTTGAAGAAACAGTTGATAGTCAAGGTAGAAATCTGCATGGTGGTGTTCTTAGTTTCAAAGTATGCTTGAAAAGCCCAGTTTGTTGCCAACATGTATTGGTTATTTTTCACTCTTTGCCACTCTTTGTTTCTCTTGAGTTTTTAAAGTTTTTAGGTAAAACATATTGTTAATTTTCTGTGTCATCAAGCTGAAATACCTGTGCCTACTGATGCAGCCTTCAAAGCAAATGTTACAGCATTTCTTGTTATTCTTTTTTGAATGATATGTATTTATTATTAAGATTTTGCAGTGTTGCGATTGAAACCGGGGTCTCATGCATGGTAGGCAGTCAGTTTATCACCAAGCTGCATCCCTAGTCCCTGCCAAGTGGTCTTTTCATTTTTCTTTTTGGTGGTACTGGGGATGGAACCCAGGGGTGGTCTCCTAATGACCTACATCCCTAGCCCTTTTTATTTTTTGAGTTTCATCCCCAGTACAGCAAGAAACAAAAACAGTTCTTCAGATTTGCCCCCCTTTATACAAAGCCTCCACAACCTGATCAAAATTTAAAAATTAACATTTTTTTTTGTGGTACTGGGGATTGAACCCAGGGCCCTTTACCACTGAGCCACATACCCAGTGCTTTTTTATTTTATTTTGAGATGAGGTCTTGCTAAGTTGTCCAGGTTAACTTTGAGCTTGAGATCCTCCTACTTTAGCCTCTTGTGTAGTATTACAGTACTTTAACTAAGTTTTCTGACTATCTGATTTTCTTTGATAGTTCACCTGGGGATACAAATACGGTATTGGTACTCCTTAAAAACAGTCAAACAAACAAAAAACCCTGTTGTTGATGGATATAAAAGAAATGGTAGCTCACTGTACCTCACCCAGGTTAAATCTCTTCTTGCCTGGCTTTCAGCCTCTTTGTGACTTGGACTTATTCAGGTGTGATATTTTTGTTGTTGTTTCTCACTTTGGAATCCTATCTCCTGATATTTCATCTAATTAGAGACTTATTCTTACTTTGTAGACCACTGTTATGTATTTGCTACTTTAAAAAAAATATTTTTAATTGGGGATTGAACCCAGAGGTGCTTTACCACTGAACTATACCCCCCACTTTTCTTTTTAATTTTGAGACATGGTCTCACTAAATTAATTGCTTAGGGCCTTACTAAATTACTGTCCTTGAATTGCTGGGATTATAGGTGTGTGCCACCATGCCTGCTGGCTCTCCACATTTGCTGCTATCTTTTTTTGGGAGAGGGGGCAGGGGTTGAACCAGGCGTGCTTAACCACAGAGCCACATCCCCAGCCCTTTCAATGTTTTGTTTTGAGAAAGGGTCTTGCTAAGTTGCTTAGGATCTGTCCAAGTTTCTGAGGCTGGCTTCAAACTGGTGATCCTCCTGCCTCAGCTTCCTGAGCTGCAGGGATTATAGGCGTGTGCCACCACATTCGGCCCCATATTTACTACTCCTATGAACACCTATGGCACTTATTTATAGTGTAAATTTGTAGCAGTTGGAGACTACAATTGTTAGCCTTTTATATTTATAACTAGAAAAGTGTATAAGATGATGTATGTTCAATATCCTAGCATAGTGTTTGGCACAGTATAAGCATTCAGTAAATTATTGAAATGTTTGAAGGCATAGTTTCTATCTTACCCAGTGTATCACTATAATGGGCACCTAAGATGTTTTGCTGCCTTTTTTTTTTGGTTAATAGAAGAACAGAAGCCTGTTGTAACATGTTTTAGGTCCTAACTTATATCCTGATTGGAGAAGGTCTTTTAGGTGCTTGAGGGTCTTTTTTTTTTTTTTTTTTAACTAATAGACATACCTACTATTAATTTGTTTTTACACCCCTCTCCCCATTGGGGATTGAACCCAGGGACACTCTCCCATTGAGCTACATTCCCATCCCCCTCCTTTTTTTTTTTTTTAAATATTTTTTTAGTTGTAGTTGGACACAATACCTTTATTTTTATTTATTTTTATGTGGTGCTGAGGATCAAACCCAGCGTCTTGCATGTGCTAGGTGAGAGCTCTACTGCTGAGCCACCACCCCAGACCCCCATCCCTTTTTAAAATTTATTTTTATTTTGAGGCAGAGTCTTGCTAAGTTGCCTAGGCTAGCTTGGAATTTGCAGTCCTCCTGTTTCAGCCTCCCAAGTTGCTGGGATTACAGACCTGTACAGCCATGCCTTCACATTGTTGATGAAGTGTTTTCTTCCTTTTGGATACATGGTTTGAAATGGACTTAGACAAATGATGTGAATATTTTTTATGACACTTTGAATATACATGCAGGCCATTTTTAAAAAGTGGCCTGAGATAATGAATAGATGAAGGATTTTGGTGATTTTGGTTTTTCAGTACTTGTTAGTTGTTAGACCTCAGATTTGCTGGTGGATTTTTTTTTTTAATTGTTGAATATGTTTTGTAGATCCTTTGATTTTAGTACGTAGGTTTTTTAAAAAAATATTTATTTTTTAGGTGTAGTTGGACACAATGCCTTTATTTTATTTATTTATTTTTATGTGGTGCTGAGGATTGAACTTAGGGTCTTGCAGGTGCTAGGTGAGTGCTCTACCGCTGAACCATAACCCCAGCCCCCATAGTTTTGTTTTTTAAAATTAGCTACTACATGCACATGGTGAAAACTTCAGTACTAATGAGAACATGATAGAAAATGAGACTACTTATTCCAGACACCTATATCCCCTCCCTAGAAGCAGCCCTTCTTACCAGTTTCTTTCATGTCTTTTCAGGTGGTCCCTACATCTGTAGTATGTGTATATCCTTTACATAAGAAAAAACACAAATAAACCGGCATGTTACACGCATTGTTCTATACCTGGTTTTTTTTTTTTTTTTTAATATTTTTTATAGTAGATGGTCACAGTACCTTTATTTTATTTTTTAATGTGGTGCTGAGGATTGAACCCAGTGCCTCACATGTGCTAGGCAAGCGCTGTACCAACTGAGCCACAACCCCAGCCCTTGTACCTGTTTTTAAAAACTTAATATTTAGAGATATTCCATGTTGGTACTTTATTAGTTTGCTGGAGCTATCTTGACAGAATACCACAGACTGGATGATTTAAACATACACATTTGTTTCCTTATAGTTCTGGAGGCTAGAAGTCTGAGATGAAGGTGTTGGTAGGGTTAATTTCTTATGAGTGCCTCTCTCCTTGGCTTAAACATTGCTAACTTTGAATGTTTTTACATGGTCTTCTGCCTGTCTGTCCTAATCTTCTCTTTCTGGTGTTTTTTTTTTTTTTTTTTGTGATGCTAAGAATTGAATCCAGGGCCTCATGTATGCTAGGCAAGCACTACACCACTGAGCCACATCCCCAGCCCCTAGGCCATATTTTGAGGGAAAAATCTTACCTTAATCTCTCTCAAAGTTACATACTTTGATAGTGCTTTTATTTTATTTTCAGGGTTGCACAATAGGCTTTGACTTTAATGCAATATAGAATATAGCCTCCTATAGTTGATTCCCTAGACAAGATTCTAAATTGGCTGCTTATCTGGATTATTATATAAGGGTAATAGGAACTCATATGCTAGTGTATATGGAGTAAGCTAGTTGATTCTTTTTTTTTTTTTTTTTTTAAATATTTATTTATTTATTTTAATTATCGGCGGGCACAACATCTTTGTTTGTATGTGGTTCTGAGGATCGAACCCGGGCCGCACGCATGCCAGGCGAGCGCGCTACCACTTGAGCCACATCCCCAGCCCCGCTAGTTGATTCTTAAAACAACCTATGATGCTAGTATTACTGTTTCTTTTCACAAATGGAGAGATGAAGATTGCCCAGAGTCACGCAAGAATGGGAATATGAGCTGCAGGGCTGACTGGTCTGAAAGCTTATGCTGTTTGCTGCTATTCTAATTATTGTCTTATTATAGTTCTGATCTTTTCAGTAGGGCCATTGGTATATTATAGGCTTGTTAAATATTTGTTGTATGATTAAGTAATATTAATTTTTTTCTAAAATTTTTGTTGCTAAATTATAATTTATAAGTAATGGGGGCTCATTGTTACATATTCGTATATACATGCAGTATAACAACATATTTTGTCCAGTGTCATTCCCCAGTATTTCCCCTTTCTCTCTCTCCTTCTCTGCCTCTGATTCCTTACTTCTACTCTGTTGATCTCCCTTTGATTTTCATGAGATCTACCTCTACCTTTCTTTTTGTTTTTCCTGTCTAGCTTCCACATAAGAAAATACATATGACCCTTGACTTTTTGAGTTTGACTTATTTTGCTTAATGTCATGTTCTCAAGTTTCATCCATCTCCTGCAAATGACACAATTTTATTTTTTTATGACTAAATAAAACTCCATGTTTATATATACCATATTTTCTTTATCCATTCATCTGTTGATGGACACTTAGGCTGTTTCTGTGTTTGACTATTGTGAATTGTGTTGCTATAAATGTGGATATGCATTGCTATAATATGCTGACTTTAATTTGATTAAGTAATATTGTCTCTTCTTAAAATAGAGGTGGGTTCTATTCTGTAACATTTTGATTAATAAATGTTACATTCAGTTAAAACTGCTCTTTGAGATTAGAATGAGATTTCTGAAAGGATTGATCAAATTAGCAAAATACCCTTTCAAGTAGAAGCAAGGATACTTGAGTTCCCTCTTATTTATAGTGTTTGGATGCTTTTGCTTAAGTAGTTTTTTCTTTCTTTCTTTTCTTTTCTTTTTTTTGGTGTGGGGAGGTACTGGGAATTGAAACCAGGAGCACTTTATTACTGAGCTATGTCCACAGCCCTTTTAAAATTTTTTTTTTATTTTGAGACAGGGTCTCCCTAATTTGCTGATGCTGGCCTCAGAATTGTGATCTTCCTGCTTCAGCGCCCCAAATTGCTGGGATTACAGGTGTGTACCACTGCACCTGACTTAACAGCAATAATTCTGATCTTTACAGTAGGGCCATTTGGTTTATTTGTTTTAACTGGGAATAACAGTAAAGTGCCATATTAATTATTTACTCACTGCTGGGTGGTGTATTGGTTACCTCATTTTAGTTGCCTCATAGTAGTTTTGTGAATCAGATTTATTTTGTAGATGAGAAAATTAAGGTATAGAAGTGAAGTAACTTGCCAGGATCACACATGTAAAGTGGAGCTGAGATTGGAACTTAGGTTTGTTTGCTTTTCAAAATTATGTTTGAGGCTGGGCACAGTGGCACATGCCTGTAATCCCAGTGGCTTGGGAGGCTGAGATAGGAGGATCACAAGTTCAAAGCCATCCTCAGCAATGGTGAGGTGCTTAACAACTCAGTAAGACCCTGTCTCTAAATAAAATAAAAGTAGAACTGGGGATGTGACTCAGTGGTCAAATGCCCCTGAGTTCAGTCCCCGGTACCCCTGGCCCTCCCCCCCCCCCCATAAAAAAAGTTTGAAAAGCTCATGCTTCCCTCCCATATTATTATTTAGTCAACAATGTTTTAAATAAATTTTTAAAATTTAATTTTTTCCTTTTAATATATGGCTCAATATTATGTTAGAAGCCTTGGGAGGGAGATAAAGAAATATAAGCCTAGTACTACCCCCAGAGAGCTTAAAATCTGTTAGAATAAAGGCAATCACATATGAATAAGAAATAACATGATAGTACTCATGTGATTAATTTATTCACTGGAGTGACTGCTATGTGGCTGGTATTGTACTGTTTTTCGGGGCATAAAACAAGTCTTTTTGCCTTTTTGGAAATGTCCTTATTTTAAAGATCTGTCTTCTTTACTGCAATATTACAAATAAACAAGATAATTATAGATTATGACCAAACTGTAGAGGAAATAAACAGGGTAATATGATACAGTGTAAGGAGGGAGGAAGTTGTTACTCACATAGTATATTCAGGGGAGGACTTTGTGAGGACAAGTGGTGATTTGAGCTGAGATTTGAAAGGTTGGAAGTCAACAGCTTCAGGAACAATGGGAAGGAGTACTGTTGTTAAAGACCAAAGGCAGGACAGAGACTGGCATGTTTGAGTACATAAGAAAACAAAACAAAAACCTAAGTGGCGAGAACATGAGAGTGAAGATGGGGAGATGAGGATGTGATAGGAGTTTTGAAAGTTAAGAAAGGCCTTGTCTTGAGAGCTGTCTTAATCTGCTCTGGCTGCTATAGCAAAATACCATGGACTGGGTAAACAACTGAAATTTATCTCACAAGTCTAGAGGCTGGGATGTCCAAGATCAAGGCACCAACAGATTTCATTTCTGGTGGTTGATGGCTTTTTGGTACTTAGATGGTGCCTTTTCACTGATCCCATTCACCAATTAAGACTTAATTGCCTTCCAAAAGACCCTGTTTCCTAATAACTATCACCACAGGGATAGGTTTCATTAATTTTAAAGGGACCCAAAACATTTCGATCATACCAGGAGGTCAGACCATTGCGACGGAAGGTGAGATTTTTGGGTAGAAAGATAGTATAAAGTAAGATGAGTTGTGCGCAATGGTGCATGCCAATAATGCCAGCTATTTGAGAGGCAGGAAGATCCCAGCGTGGGCAATTTACAAAATCCTATCTTAAAAAGACATTGTCCTATAAAAAGACAATGGGACATTATTGTCTTTTACATATATAAACTGCCCAGTAAAAAGGGACAGTGGGCAAATATGATATCTTGGACAGTGGGACAAAATGGGTTAGAGGGGAGGGGGAATAAATCCCAGTATCTGTTCCAACAATCAAAAGATGATATAGCCCATGTTACTAATATTTCTGTTCTAGTCTACCTCAGATTTGACTATTGGTAAAATAGCTACCAATTTTTCACATATTCACCAGTCTCATGTCAAAAGCAAGGAAAAAAAACAGCAGTAGGACTCTGTGCCATGGAGACCTTGTCCCTTAAATTTCTATAATGATTCAATATTAAGAGTGAATAAATGGAGTGTTTGGGGAGAAAATGAAGTTACAACTATTTAAGGATAGAAATCAAAATGAGATTTGATTATTTTGAAAAATTAAGTTGATTAATGTTGTTAATTTATTATTGTTTTGTTGTTATTTTGGTGCTGGGGATTGAACCCAGAGGCGCTTAATAAATGAATCACATTCCCATCCCTTTTTATCTTTTGAGACAGGGTCTTGCAAAGTTGCCTAGGTCCTTGCTAAGTTTCTGAGACTGGCCTTGAATTTGGGTTCTTCCTGCTTTAGCTTCCTGAGTTGCTGAGATTACAGGTGTGTGCTACTGTGTTTGGCTAGTCTTGCTAATTTAAAGTAAAACAAGTTAAATATTGTTTTATTTAATGTTTGTAATTGTTTCATTTCTTTTTATGTGTTCACTGTGAGAAGCCACTTTGCTTACAACTGTTTAAAATTTAAAACTAATTTTTTAAAAAAAATATTATTTAGTTTTATTTAGGTGGACACAATATCTTCATTTTATATTTATGTGGTGAGGATCGAACCCAGGGCCTCATGCGTGCTAGGCAAGCACTCTACCACTAAGCCATAACCCCAGCCCCCAAAACTAAATTTGTTGTTAACTGATGTGTTAAAACATAAAACTTGTACATGTTTATGTGATGCCTTGTATATGTATTGTGTAATGTTTAAATCAGGTTAAACCTAGCTGGGTTTTTTTTTTTTTGTGGTTGGAGCACTGGGGCTTGAACCCAGGGCACTAAACCACATCCACAGCTCTTTTCTATTTTTCATTTTGAGACAGGGGCTTTCTAAATAGTTGAGGCTGACTTTGGACTTTGGTGTAACAATTGAGCCACATCCAGCCTTCTTTAATATCTTATTTAGAGACAGGGTCTCACCAGTTGCTGAGGGCCTTGCTAAGTTGCTGAGGCTGGCTTTGAACTTTCCATCCTCCTGCCTCAGCCTCCTGAGCTGCTGGGATTATAGGCATGTGTCACCATGCTCGGCTCCTACCTTTCTTGATGGCAGGATTGGGTCTTTATTAATTTCTTCCTTGTTAGAATAGATGAAACATAAACAAAAGAAAACTATTTAATTCTTAGAGATGTTCTGACTGGCCTAGAAATGAGAGAAGATGGTAGAAAATAATTAAAAAAATTTTTAAGGAACATATTTTATAAAGAAAAGTTAGGGTAATGAATAAAATATGTAAGACTGGACATTATTACATTGCATTAATTTTAATAATTATGCTAAGAAACTATCTAATTGCTATATAATTGATATATATATATTTTGAAAACATAAACTCTTTTAACAAATTATTTCTCACAAATCTTAGTCAAACACGTGAACATGGTCTGGAATTTTTTTTTTTTTAACCCTACTTAGGAGTTAATGCATTAGCTGTGTACTGTTTTATGGATGTTTGCATAAGACAGGAGACTTGTGGGTCATAGACAAAGAAGTTTATTACTTAAGGCATAGTATGTAGCATGATGTTAATCTCTGTGTTACTTCTCTTAGTCCCAAGACACAGCTCTGTGGAATTCCCTGGGTAAAAGGGGAACTTAAATTTTTGGCTTACCAGCAAGATGTAACTATAGGGGTACAAGAGACCCATCAGGACTATATTTTCTAGCACAACGTTATCTACTTATTTTTTTGGAGGGGGGATTGAACCCAGGAGTGCTTTACCACTGAGCTTCATTCTTAGTCCTTTTAATTTTATTTTATTTTTGAGACAGGGTCTCACTAAGTTTTTGAGCCTTTGAACTTGCAGTCCTCCTGCTTTAGCTTTCTAAATTATCTACTTTTTACTAAAAAATATCTTATAGAATTCCAATTTTAGTTGAGTTTTCAAGTTGAAATGGATATATTTATTATTGAAAAGTTTCTTTTGGATTTTTATTAGGACAGATGCTTTGAGCAGGGATGTTTTTTCTTTGACTTTTTGAAGGGATGCCAAAGTTTTCTAAGATTGTTTATTGTGTATTCTGAAAATAAATTGTAACTATCTTTCTGAGGCCTGTTCTGTGTTTGCAGTCTAAAAAAGTTGGAAAAGAATGTCAAGATACTTGGGTGCTGGGCTGAGGCTGTGGCTCAGCAATAGAGCGCTCGCCTAGCATATGTGAGGCCCTGGGTTTGATCCTCAGCACCACATTAAAATAAATAAATAAAATAAAGGTATTGTGTCCAACTACAACTAAAAAATAAATATTAAAAAAAAAAAGATATTTGGGTGCTGTCTAGCTTTGCAACATTAATCCTTGTGTTTTGGCCAGAATTTTCTTATATGTAAGATGTTGGGGGTAAAGTTAGTTCATTAAGGACTTTCATTAGGACTTTCTAAGCAATATCGTATTCTTGGTTAAACAAATAAGGTCAGCTATATTAATTTAATTTTTTTATATATATTCTGTGATGTAGACTAAACAACAATATTCAACATCTGCATACATGTGAGTGCATAGTATATATCTTTAGTTTGGATACTTGTGGTTTCTTTTTTTTAAATTTTTTTTTTTTAGTTATAGATGGACACAATACCTTTATTTTATTTGCTTATTTGTACGTGGTGCTGGGGATTGAACCCAGTGCCTCACTCATGCTAGCCAAGTGCTCTACCACTGAGCCACAATCCTGTCCCATTTGTGGTTTCTTAAGAATCATATAGTAAATGTTTTTAAAAAGTACACTTTATCAGGGTGGTAGCACATGTCTATAATTCTAGCTATTGGGATACTGAGGCAGAGTATTGCAAATTTGTAGCCAATTTGAATTCTCTGTGCAATTTCATGAGACCCAGTCTCAAATAAAATAAAAAGAGTTGGGGATGTAGCTCAGTGGTAGCGTGCCCTTAGGTTCAGTCCTCAGTACCATAACAAAACCCATAGCTGGGCACAGAAACTGAGGCAAGAAGAATAAAAGTTCAGGACCAGTCTGGGGAGATCTTATTATTAATACTTAACATAGTTTTAAAAGGGGTATACTGATAGAGAATATAAAATTTTCAAAAAAACACTTGTTAGTAAGTACTTAATCTCAAATCTTTCAATATATTGTATGTGCCTTGTTCCAGGAGAACCTTGGGATGTGTTGCTGGGATCCTCCCATTCTTCCATACAAATCCTTTTCCCAGGAATTGTTGATTGTGGAGTTTATTTGAGTGTTCGCCAGTAATAATGAATTAAAGAGAGAGTTCATAGCCTTTTTAAATGTGTAGTGCATGGACTCCACAAAACTTCTTGGGATTTAACTTTGAGATTCTCAAGGGTGATTAGACTCTTAAAATGTTAACAACCTAGAAGATACGGATATTGGTGTGGTTGTCTGATGGAGGAATAAATACTGGCAAAGAAAGTGGAAGATACATGCTCTTTCACAATGTTTTTCCTTTTATGATCGGCAGAATCATTTTTTGTACTGTAAATTGCCCAATTCGAGTTGTAAGTTATGATACAAATGAACATCATTATCAAAGAGGTATAGTGTTTAATTATTGGTGCAAAATAACTGTTCTAGCCAAGTCACTAGAACATTGGATAGCCAAATGGTAATCGTTTTTTTCCTGCTATAGTGATTTGACCTTATTTTGACAGGTTAACATGGGATATACTAATATATCTGGCCTAGTTTCCCCTAAAGCTGTTGAAGCTGTCATTGTATATATATTGCAAAAGCAAAGTGTCTTTTCTGGCCACAATTTGTGGGTCATCTGGTATCATTTTTTTAAAGGGTTTTGTTTTGTTTTTTAATATTTCTCAGTTGTTGAAGGATCTTTATAATTTTTTAAAATATCTTTTTAGTTGTTGGTGGACTTTTATTTTATTCATTTACTTATATGTGGTGCTGAGAACTGAACCCAGTGCTTCACATGTATGCGACACATGCTCTACCATCGAGCCACAACCTCAGCCCTGGACCTTTATTTTATTCATTTATTTATATGTAGTGTTGAGAATCGAACACAGAGCCTCACCTGTGTGAGGCAAGTGCTCATTTTAGTATATGAAATAACTATTAATACCTGCTAAGGGCTTTGCAGAATAGTCTTAATTATATTCGAGCTTGATTCTGAAATGACCCCCTTTGTAATGGTAGGTAGCTCAAAATTCAATTATATATTTGGTGAGAAGTATGAGTACTGGGCTGGGGTTGTGGCTCAGTGGTAGAGCACGTGTCTCACCTAGCATGTGAGGCACTGGGTTTGATTCTTAGCACCACATAAAAATAAATAAAGGTATAAAAATAATAACTTAAAAAAAGAACCATGAGTACTATAATTATTCTGGAAATAAAAAGAAATTATACAGGGTGCCATAATGCACGCCTGTAATCCCAGCATCTTGGGAGGCTGAGGCAGAAGGATCACGAGTTCAAAGCCAGCCTCAGCAATTTAGCAAGGCCCTAATCAATTCGGTGAGACTCTGTTTCTAAATAAAATACAAAAAAATGCTGGGAATGTGGCTCAGTGGTTACGTGCCCTTAAGTTCAATTCTTGGCACCAAAAAAAAAAAAAAAAGAGAAAAATTGTATTCCTTTCTAAGGAGTTCGTTATAACTCCTTATATTGACTTAAGGTTGCCTTTACTCAGTCAATACTAATAACTAACATTTACTAAACTCTTAGTGTATGTAGACACTGTTTTAAATTTGCATGTATTATGTATTCAGTTTACCCTATGAAGATGGTGTGTATTGCTGTCTTCATTTTTAGAGAAGGGGAAGCTAAGCCACAGAAAAGTTAAATAATTTGTGCAAGCTAGGCACAGTGGTACACACCTGTGATCCCAACTACTTGGAAGGCTGAGGCAAAAGGATTCAAGTTTGAAGTCAGCTATAACAATCTAGCGGGACCCTGTCTCAAAATAAAAAAGGGCTGGGGATGTATCTCAGTGGTCAAATGCTTGCCTAGTACGTATAAAACTCTGGGTTCATTTCCCAGTACCACAACAACAGTAAACAACAGAAACAACAAAAACCCCTAAGCTCCCATAGCTAGAGTATGGTAGAGCCAGTCTGACTCTAGAACCCAGGCTGTTCGTAACAGATAACATTAGTTTCTAACAAATTGCTGAGCTGTCAGGTTGGGAAGCCTAAGAAATGAAAGATTTGTGGGTTACTCTATCTTTCTTACTCTCTATTCTTGTTTGACACACTTCTATTAAAAATTCACTAGTTGTCTGTAGGGTGAAGAAATGGGGAAATGAACTTAGATCCTACTTCTTCCTCTTTATTTTTGCCACCTTCTTTGCATTGCTGGCAACTCTCATAGCCATATAATTGCCACTCCACTAGCTGTGATCATATTTGTTTTTATTAATGTTACTTTTCAGGAGAGGAAGTATGGTATGATGTTTAAGAGCAAAGACTTTAGAGCCAGACTTCTTGGGTTTAAATCCCAATTCTACCACTTATTGGCTGAGTAACCTTGGCCTGATTACTTAACTATGTCTCATCTTTTTACCTGTAGGGTAGGGTAATAACAGTATCATATTGTATATGAATGTTGGGAGGATGAAATGTGTGAGTATGTGTAGTGTGTTTAGAAGAGTGCATGCATGGCATCTAGTAAGTGCTATGTAAGTGTTTTCATTATCTCTGTTTTTAAAAAAATTAAAGAAATTTAACCTTTATTTATTAGTTGTTTTATTTATTTTTATGTGGTGTTGAGGATCGAACCTAGGGCCTCACTTGTCCTAGGCAGACACTGTACCACTGAGCCACAACCCCAGACCCATAACGGTTGTTATTTGAGAACAATTTTAAGTTGAACCAGTTACTGATTTAGGCTAGGGATCAGGATCTTTAAAATTTTTTTGATTGGTTCATTATATTTATACTTAATAGTGGGATTCATTATGTCATATTCATACATGATGTGTGAAGTAATATATACCTATATTAAAAAATATTAATAGGCATTTGTAAATCATCATGATTAAGTATTATGAAGGGAGCTCTGTAAGCAAATAGCCCTGATTTCGAACTCAAAGTTAGGTGGGTCTTTATTTTCATTCCATAGGGTTGCAGTTCTAGCCAAAAATTGTAACCCCTTCAGGGCTGTAATTGAAATAGGTTTTAATGTTGAAATCTAGGTGTGTACAGTGTGTTTTCTTTTTTAAAATTCTCCCAGGAAAACAGTTAAAGTATTTCATTGAATCTAAGATTCCATTTATCCCAGTTTCATAGATGTCAAAATATGAGGGGAAAATGGCTGATATTAATTGTAAGATGTCCTCAATAAAGATACATTCTGATTTTAGAGATACAGATGTGACAGAAAGTATCAGTATTGATGAAATACAATAAATCTTTGGCAAATCTGTCATTGAAGCTTCTTAGAATGGAGGACTATTAGTATGAAGCTGAAGTAATTCTGTCAGTATGTTTTAGAGCAATCTTAGAAATGCAGATTTTGGATTCTTCATGTCATGAATATTGAACTAGTAACTATGCAACCTGGTGCTACAGTAGCTGCTGAGACTAGGGATCACTTGGATATTTGTCCAGTTCATGCTGTTCACATATTCTGGTGTTAGTGGTGGTGCTCTGCTGTTTGTTGGTTATAGCCTGAGTAACTATAGCTCTAAGGCTGAGTAGATGAGCTGTTCATTAAAGCAGTGGTCTTTGTGTGGCAGTGTAGTTTGCATAGGGGTATACGTAATGCACATGTGTGTACATACAACTGAAGGAAAGGTTTCACAAAATAATAGCTGATACACTGCAGGGTTCTGATTCTGATAGAAGCCTCTTCTCCTTCATTATAAAAAGAAACATACTGCTCATTTTTGTATTGGACTCTTAAAAAATAACACTTAAGTAGTTGAAACTACCAGGGATGGAAACAGAAAATTGACTCTTATTTGTTATTGTGACTTTCAGCAAGTCACCATTTTTCTTTTTAGGATCTTTCAGCCGTAGTAATTGTGCTGTTTCTATGAATATACTTGTTGCTAGTTGAGGGAAAGTATATATATGTAAATACATATAAATATAAAAGTACAAATCAATAAAACAAATATCTTTAATCTTTTGTAGGTCATCAAATTTGAAATATTTAAAGTGGATACAAAACTATTTCCGCAATGCAGACAATTAAGTGCGTTGTTGTGGGCGATGGTGCTGTTGGTAAAACATGCCTCCTGATATCCTATACAACAAACAAATTTCCATCCGAATATGTACCAACTGTAAGTATAAAGACTTCTGTCTGTTAGTGAAATGTATTATAACTTGATATCCTTAGAAATTTCTTTATGTACTGAAATTTTCTGTTTTTAAAAATCTTAATTTCTCATGGGTAAATTATATACACTTTAATTAAACAGTTAAAAAAACAGTGGAAAGCCAGAAAGGGTGACACAAGAGTTTGCAAAGGGAGGCAAAACTCCAGTAGATAAGATTCTAAAGAGTGGTCTTGGAGAAGTATGCCTTACATCTTGAATGAGATGACTTTTTTTGATATCTTGGCCAATGATGGATCAATGCTTCGAGGTCTTCTGGGGTGCTCTTCAGAGTCATGTAACTTCAGAGAAAGTAGTATGTATCTTATGGAGCTGTTTTCTTAGCAGTAATGAAGTTCTAGGGAAAACCTGTTTGGTTATGAGAGTACAGACAGAAGCCTTTGGTTGTCTTCCCCCATATATATATATATTTTTAAAATAACTCCTTGTAAGAGTAGAGGTAAAATGGGGATAATGAGGATAATAAGATGAAACATATTTAGAGTGACAACACACTTGTGAAAACATACTTTTGGGGATATAGTGTTTGTTTCACTTGTAAACATTTCTGAGTCTGTATTCTAAGACTTTTATTTGGTGTAATAAAAGTTTTTATATATATATATGGATCTCTATATGTGTATATATGGTTTATATGGTTTTTATATGTGTATATATGGATCTCTGAGAAAAGGATAAAGAAGGGAGAGGAATAGTAAAATAAAATTTTAAATGAACCTATTATTTAGGTAAAAATAGATCTGTGAAGCACACATAATGTACCCATAGTTCCTGTTTAAGTTATTATAAAAATAGATTTGGTATAAAATGCATATTTGTGTTCACCTATGAACTGAGATAACATAAGATAATAGAAATTTAGAACTGAAAGCATCAAATATATCTATCACCTTATTTATCTTCTATTGATGAGGAATTCAGGCCCAACCTGGGGATGAAACTTAGATGTCTTAAGTAATCAAACACTAGTTATGAGTAGAGTCTGGAATGGATGACAAGCTTTTATGATTCCCTGTTTTTTTGTTGTTGTTGTTGTTTTGTTTTAAAGATTTATGATTCCCTTTTTTTGTTTGTTTGTTTTTTGTTTTTGTTTTTGTTTTTGTTTTGTTTCACTATGTTGCGTAGGCTAATCTTCAGCTTCTGGGTTTGAGTGATTCTCTCCTGTCTTAGCTTCCAGAGAAGCTGGGACTATAGCTGCATGCTACCATGTGCAACAACTGATTCTTATTCTAGTCTTGTGTATGAGGGCTTTTTACTTTTTTTTTTTTTTTTTGATATTGGGAATTGAACCCAGGTATGCTCTGACACTGAGCTACATTCTTTTTATTTTGAGGCAGGGTATCATCAAGTTGCTGAGGGTTATTTTTTAGGCTCTTCTAACATGTAACTTAAGAAAATAACCTATGTGGTTTGAGACTTGAAGTACAATTCATTCCATTTCCTTGTGAACCAGAATTGACTTCTTTACCATTTCACTGCTGTCCTTGCTTCCAACATTTACATTTTAACAAGCTCCCAAACAACTTATTAAAACATAAACAAGAAAATTTGAGTAGGGAGCTAAAAGGTTAAGCAGGGCTAGTCTTCAAATGTGGTACACTTTCCAGTTTAGAAGCATAGCTTTTTTTTTTTTTTTTTTTTTTCAAAAAATTGATTAAAATCATTTAATTTAGACATTTTTATTGTACTTTGACAAAATTACAGTGATATATATAAAAACATTGCTTTTTAAAAAAAATTGTTGTTTATTTTTATGTGGTGCTGGGGATCAAACCTAGTGCCTCACATGTGTAGGCAAGCGCTCTACCACTGAGCCACAACCTCAGCCCCCAAACATTGCTTTTTGGTTGTAAACGAATTCAGAGGAATCCATGGATTAATATTGGGTCTTTGCCCACTTACCATTACCTCCCATTTTCACAAATAACTTAGTACAACCAATTATATATACCTAATATATATCTAGTCAAAGACGATATCTTAGGTCATGTAGCTTGTACCCAATAACATGAATTTTTACTATATTTTCTGGTGCCTGGTATCAAATGCAGGGCTTCACACATGCTGGCAAATGCTCTGTCATTGTCCTATACTCCCAGCCCAACATGAATTTCACTATGAAATTCTAAATAAATAATCTGTCAGCTTTTTCTTTCACACTTTCCTGGAGTGCTTTACTACCTCTCTCATGTGGGCTTTTTTGCCACAAGGCTCTTCTCCTCTGAGACTCTGAAAGAAAAAAAGATTATCATGGATCTAGGAGATTTTAATTCTAGTTTAAAAGGAAATGGTCTAGGAAGGAAAAACTTCCTTAGAAAGCAGATTGAACCTTGAAGTAAACTGTTATCTTAAATGTTTCTGACTTGAATAGGATCATTTTGCTTAAGTAGGGGCTCCTCCCATGATACCTATAACCCTTTTGTGGCTCTTTATCTAGTCTGCTGGGGGTAGAGCAGCCATCCCAGGTTACTTTTTCCTAGAACCATTTAGTTCATGCAAGGGTTTGGTTGATAAGGTTGGTTATATAAGGAAGATTGACTAAAGGAGGATTAAGTCTTAGGAAGGAGGCTGGGGTTGTAGCTCAGTGGTAGAGCCCTTGCCTATCGTGTGAGGCACTGGGTTCGATTCTCAGCACTACATATAAATAAATAAAGGTCCATTGACAACTTAAAAAAAATATATATATATATGTGAATGATAAATCTTAGGAAGGAAACGTTGCCTTAGGAACAGTCCTGTTCCATTTTGACCCACCCTTCACACATTAACAATGGTGTATTGTTTTGTTTTTAGGTTTTTGACAACTATGCAGTCACAGTTATGATTGGTGGAGAGCCATATACTCTTGGACTTTTTGATACTGCAGGTGAAAACTTACTGTCTTTTATAATGTAATAGTTATTGATTTTTTTTGACATTTGGGAAATTTATACATAGCAAATCATTTACCTTATGTTAATAGTTAGCAGGATTGAATATAATGACCAAAGAGCAGTCCCAAACCTGGGAGGACTACTAGGAGTTTAGAGTATGCTGATGGATGGTGTGGTAGGAGATCAAATAGAGCAGACTGAATTAGAGAAGCTCTAATTGAACCAACACCCTGACGTGTACACCTTGCAGAGATTTGGGAACTATGTTGATGGTTGGGGAGTAACTAAGGGAATGAATTCAGAGGAAAAATGACTATTGATTGTCTCACTGCATTCCTACCTTCCCCTTTTTTAGTGCCTAGAGTTTCCTAAATATGCCCAAGGTTGTAATTTTGTAAACCATTATGATTGCTTTCATTTGAAGGCTTATGTAGTATGTAGTGTAGTATGTGTTTAGAAAGCTGCTTATAGTAAGTAGCTTGTTATTTTATACTGTATCTGAAAATAGTTTTACAGGTGAACCAAATTTATCTTACAGTATTTACATTTGTTTTCAGCTATCAAGATTATAAGAACAAACTGTCTGCTTCCTTGAATGTACCTTACTCTTCAGTGTCCTCAGTTTTATTTTCTACTTGTTTTTAACAGTGGCTACATGTCTTAATTTCTGACTTCTCTCTCTAGTCTCTTATGAATTCAACCTAAAAGAAATCTTAGAAAAGTGATCTTTCAATTTTATAGGAATTCTAAACTGTCTTCTTTTTATGAGTTAATTCTGCCATTGTCTGTCAGCTCTCATGGAGTGTGTTTACGCCCACTTTGAGGAACTGTTTGGATTTAATTGGGAGGGTGAAATGGAAAGATAATAGAAAATAGTTTAGAGAAAATTTTAATGACTTGTAAGTAGTAAAAGTAATGGCATATTAGAGGCAACTTGAAAAATAGAGAAAACAGTGACCTATAATCTCATGATAGGCGAAGGACGTTTTCTGTGTGCCTTTGGAGGAATTGGTATGCTGAAAAAAGACAATTTATGGCCACTTGTGATTGAAAATTAAATTTTGCTTCCAGACTTCCAAGCTTATTTTTGTAAGCCTTTACAAAATTTTAATACCACTTTAAAAAGTTTTGTGGATGTATAATGCAATAAAATTCACTCATTTTAAGTATTCAGTTTGAATTTTACATTCACCATAATCAAGATATATAACTTTTTTTTATCATCCTAAAAAGTTTTCTTGTGCCCTTTTACAGTCCATTTTTTCCTTCTTTGAACTGACCTCAGACAACCATAGATCTTCTTTTTGGTTTCTATAGTTTGCTTTTCTAGTATTTCATGTATCTGGAATCAAATAATGTATAGTTTTTGTGTTTGACTACTTTCATTTGGCATGTTTGTGAGAGCCATCAATGTTGTGTGTATCGATAGTTTCTCTTTATTGCTGAGTAGTTTTCCATTCTGCGGGCATACCATTTACAAGTTGATGGATGTCTGGGTTCCAGGTTTAAGCTATTATAAATGCTTGTGCTGTGAACTGCTTCCATATTTTAGCTGCTATAAACACGAGTATTTGAATACCTCCTTGAGACCTTGCTTTCGATTCTTTTGGGTATATACCCAGAAATGGAGTTGTTAGATCATGTGATAATTCTATTTTTAATTTTTTGAGCAACCTGTTTTCCACAGCGCAGTGCCATTTTGTGTTCCTGCCAACTATGCACAAGGATTCAGTTTCTCCACATCCTTGCCAACACTTACTGTTTTGTTTTTTTTGATACTAATCATCCTAATGTGTATAAGATATTATAGTGTAGGGTTTTTTGTTTGTTTGTTTGTTTTGACATGGGGTCTTTTTATCTTGCACAGCCTGGTCATGAACTTCTGGGTTCAATAGAACTTGCTGTCTCAGCCTTCTAAATAGCTGGAACTCTAGGCACATGCTGCCACATCTGACTTCATTATAATTTTGACTTGATCACTAATGATTTGTGATCTTGAGCATCTTTTCATACATTCATTAACTGTTTGCACGTCTTTGGAGAAATGTTTATTTTAGTTCTTTGCCCTCTAAAAAAAAAAAAGTCTTTTTTTTTTTTTTTTTAAATAATGTGCTGAGGATAAAACTCAGTGCCTCATACATGCCAGGCAAACATTCTGCCACTGAGCTGTTACAACCCCAGCCCTCTTTGCCCTTTTTTGAAATGTTTTTTTTTTTTTTGGTTTTGAGTTTCGGGATGTCTCCGTAGATTCTGGATGTTAATTCTTTATCAGATATGTGTGATTTGTGTGATTTGCATATATTTTTGTGGAACCTTTTACTCTTGTCGATACTGGCCTCCCCTCCACCACCCTTTTCCAAGCTAGGGATTAAGTCCAGGGGATATACCACTGAGCTCTACTCCCAACCTTGGTATTGTCTTTTTTTAAAATATATTTTTAGTTGTAGATGGACCCAATACCCTTATTTTGTTTGTTTAGTTTTGTGTGATGCTGGGGATCAAACCCAGGGCCTCACATGTGCTAGGTAAGTGCTCCACTGCTGAGCTGCAACCCCAGCCCCTTGATGTTGCCGTTTGATACATAAACATTTTAAATTGTCATGAAGTCCAGTTTGTTGTTTGGTTGCCTGTGCCTTTGTTATTATATAAAAAAATCATTGCCATGGGGCTGGGTTGTGGCTCAGCGGTAGAGTGCTTGCCTAGTGCTTGTGAGACGCTGGGTTCAATCCTCAGTACCACATATATATAAATAAAAATAAATAAATAAAGGAATAAATAAAGGTATTGTGTCCAACTACAACTAAAAAAATAAAAAAAATTATTGCCATGTCCAATGCTATGAAGCTTTTAATTTTTATTATTGATAAAATTATAAATTTTTTCTATTCCAAATAATTCTTTTTTAAAAAAATTTATTAATTGAACTTATTTATTTATTTATTTATTTATTTATTTATTTATATGTGGTGCTGAGACTTGAACCCAGTGCCTCATGCATGCCAGGCAAGTGCGCTACCACTGAGCCATAACCCCAGCCCCCAAATAATTCTTTGGGATTTTTGAAGGGATTATATTGAATCTGTAGGTTCCTTTGGGTAGCGTTGACATCTTATATTGTTTGGGGCTGGGGTTGTGGCTCAGCGGTAGAGCGCTGGCCTAGTGTTTGCGAGGCCCAGGGTTCGATCCCTAAAATAAAGATATTGTGTCCAACTACAACTAAAAAATAAATATAAAAAACAAACAAAAAAACCCAATATTAAGTCTTCTAATCCATGAGTGTGGAATGTGTTCCCACTTATTTATGTCTTCTTTCGTTTCTTTTAGCAGTTTTGTAATTTTCACTCTACTAATCTTTCATCTCTTTTGGTTAATTCCTAAGTATTTTATTCTTTTTGAGTATCCATTGATTCTTGCCATTTTCCCCCCAGGTCTTCTCAGTTTCAGATACTGGTCTTCTATGAACACATTAACTATACATATTATTTACTTTGATAGTCATGAGAAGTAATGGATTTTATCAGCAGAGTTTGAGATTTTTGTTCCCTCAAGTGGTTTCACTATGATTGCTTCTTAGATATGACTAGGACTGATTTTTAACCATATCTGTAGCAACGGTTTATTGTTATTGCATTATCGTTGAATTACTACTAATGGACTAAATGATTGAAAACTATAAACTGGAAATAAAAGCAAGTAATTAATATAATTGTTGCTGTTCTGAATTCTTGACATATATAAATGGAATTAGTTAAGTGAGAATATTGCCCCCAAGTATTTTATTACTGAACCATTTTATAAGTCTAAAAAAAATATGACTTTTCATTAGATAATTTTTTTCATTACATAATCTGGCTAATGATTAGTGTGTTGTTAAGCTGCATGCTTAATCTGTTGACTGACTTGTGATTTTAACATAAGAACACCAAAATTCAGTTGCTGAATTCTCTCCAATTTTTTGCTTTAGGGCAAGAGGATTATGACAGATTACGACCGCTGAGTTATCCACAAACAGATGTATTTCTAGTCTGTTTTTCAGTGGTCTCTCCGTCCTCATTTGAAAATGTGAAAGAAAAGGTAAGTTGGTAAGGTACTCTTCTCCTGAAAAAGGTCTTCACAATTTGTGTTGATCTGTCATAAAAAAACTTTGGAGGCTTTCAGATTAATAAAGGTCTATTTAAAATACCTTTTCTTTAGTGGGTGCCTGAGATAACTCACCACTGTCCAAAGACTCCTTTCTTGCTTGTCGGGACCCAAATTGATCTCAGAGATGACCCATCTACTATCGAGAAACTTGCCAAGAACAAACAGAAGCCTATCACTCCAGAAACTGCTGAAAAGCTGGCCCGTGATCTGAAGGCTGTCAAGTATGTGGAGTGTTCTGCACTCACACAGGTAAGGACTGTGGTGAACCTATGTTTCTTTATGGTTGAGAGTTGCTTGTAGCATTGAGATGCAGAGATAATTTCTAACAGTGGTCAACAGTCCTCAAAGCTTCCCAGGAAGAATACGATTGGCTTCATACATTGTATGTTGTTTTGATGGAGGCCTCTGGGTTTATGGAGAACATTATTAGTCTCTAAAGCTCTTGCATTGGTGGGTTCCCATGTTGTTTTACTGAATGATTTGAAGTGGTCAAGTCTGTTTAAAAACAAACAAAAAACAAAATAAGAAGAAAAAAAAACTTTCAGGAGAGGTCCAGACTTATGGGAGAGAATACAAATGACTTTTTTTCTCTTTGGAGGCTTAAATTTTCATTTAAATATATGTGTTTTTTTTTGGCCAATTTCGACAAAATTGATGCTATATTGTTTCTGGGGCAATTCAATTGGGGCAGAGAATCAGTTAAAATATTTTGAGACTTTTCGGGTCAGAAGAGGCTCCCTTGGCTATTTCTGCCATAGTCCTCAAGCATGCTTCATGTAGTGTCACTATTCCTGTCTTTTTGGAGGCATTCCTTCCTCATGCTGATCTCTTCTGGCCATTTCTGAGTGCTTTCGATTTCTCCTAATAGTTAATGGGAACTCAGGTTCTGAGGATAGGAAGCAATGAGTGGGAGAGTTGTAAACCATTTATATACTTCAGTATCTTTACCTTTTTGTTATTGCCGATCCCCTCCTTGGAGTATTGTTTTTCGGGCAAAGGAAAGAATTATGGAAATAATGAGCACAGAGCTCTATCGTCTACTGGTACTGGTGCTTTGAAATTTGAACAATGAGAAGACATGCCTGATAATGTAGAAGTTACTAATAATTGTATTAAACCCACTTACATTTATTATCATGCTTTTTAGGTAATTGTTTTTATTAAGTTTTTAAAAAACACTATTGGATTCTTGATTATATGGGTAAGTGGCATATATAATTATGTATATTATATTTGCATTAGGTATTTAGTATATAGGACCTAACACATAACAGTGTTTCCCATTTTGTGCTTGGTTGGATATTTAAATATAATACTTTTATGCTGGGTGTGGTGGCACCCACCTGTAATCCCAAATGACTGAGGAGGCTGAGGCAGGAGGATTGCAAGTTTGAGGCTAGCCTCAGCAACTTAATAAGACTCTGTCTTAAGAAAAGATCTGGGGATGTAGCTCAGTGATAAAGCATCATTGCATTCAGTCCTCAGTACCTGCCCTTTTATGCTTAAATGGATATTCCCCAGAATAACTTCAAGTCCTACTATCAGACGATTTGAACACATTTTCCTAAAAGTTTTCCCAAGCTATTTAATGCTATTGTAAAAGCAAATATTTAGATGTCCAGAAGAATTTATATTTCTCATACAACACAGATGACAATTTAAAAAAAAAAAAAAAAGCCTCATTGCATTTCCTAGAAAAGTGTCCCAGTATGTATTATTGGGTGAGGTGAGAGGGATGTGTGTGGAACATCCACCTCAGAGTTGGACACCACAGACTCTGTTTCATGTCCTGTGTTGCTAGATATGGGCTGTTTTTGGGAAAATGGAGGCAATAGGCCACATGGACCTAGTTTTAGATCACTGATGAAGCTTATTTTAGATAATTAGATGCTTCACTTAAGATTTGTACATTGTGAACAGGTGTACATAGTGAATCACTTTGCAGAGAATAAGTTTAGAAGGGTATAGCAGGTACTTTTTTTTTTTAAACAGATTCTGAAGCTAGACATTGAAGCAAGAGAAAATAGAAAATGGGGTCTGTGATTGTGTATATGAATGAGTACTTTCAAGACTGCAGATTCACTAAAACTAAACTCTGTGTAAACAGATAGTGGGTAAAGCCAAGATTAGTTTGGTTTCTAAGGTATTTATGCTTTGTCCATAATAAGAAAGGATTTCCTTCTTGTTATGGATTATACCCTAATTTCTAATGATCTTCCTCCTTTTTTTTTTTTTTTAAATAAAGTTTATTTCCTTTTCTACCTCTTACTTTTATATTTGACTGTGAGGATTTGTTTCTAGATGTATAGAAAGAATTGTAGAGGAACTTTTAAGTTTTGTATAGCATTTCTTCTATGAAAATAAGGTAGAAAGAAGATAACTTTTTAGTCTCTTTCCCTCTTTTTAAGTACTGATTACTGTCTTGCTATTTTTTTTTTTTTTTAATCTAATGGAATGTGTGAGTACCATTCCTCTGAGACACCATTGTGGGGTAAGGGTGTGAGAAGGAACACACCTTCTGGGGCTCACAACCATTGGAGCTGTGTTCTGGGACTTTTGGGGACATTTTTACCTGGGATCAAATTGACCTAAAGAACATGTGAAACTGCTTTGGGTGGTAAACTTGTGGCTTCAGATTTAGGTGAGTTTAGATGAATCTATAGATCTGGGCCCAGGTACCACTACTACCAAGTCACACTGTCATGGTGGAGTTTCTGGCTGAGGTGTTAGTGTATTTCTACATCTTAATCGCTGTAGATCTGAGAATATTATTTGTTTTCACTCCATGCTTTATGCCCTGATACCATGCAGACATCTTAAAGCACCGACTGCTTGCTAAAACTCATTCTAGGACCCCATTCTTCGTTTTCTTATGATTCGGGTGGTGGTTACTTGCTCTAATAACATTGCTGAATAACTGAAGTGTATGCTGTTTCTAGAGTCCATTCATTAAGACTCCTCTCAGTTGCTACTGTTGCACAGTGAATCACTTCTAAATTAACTTTTTTGTTCTAAGAAATTGATGTACTCTGAAATTCTGATTAATCCCATCCAGATATATCACTGAATCTAGAAACATGTAGCATGCCTGTTAGTCGCTATTTGTGTCCTTCAGTTATTCAGGGGCTGAATTCACATAAGCCTGAAATTGCAATAGATTTATTTCCAAAGTATGTGTGCCATTCTTTCCATAGAAATACTAGGAGATTTTACGAGGCTTAATTTTCCAACACAAGTATCTTGTGTTTACATATCCATTCTTCTTCCTAGGCATTATTTACATTAAAATGTTGTAATATTAGATTTCATTGTATGATTATTTTAGAAATCAAAATAGTGCACTTTCATAAAAATTGTTGTCTTGAGTGCTCAGTGAACCTTTTTTTGAGGTGAAGTTCCTGTTCAGTTATATGCTTTCCCAATATTGAGTTGAAGATCTAACATTATGGCATTTATTTTTCTAAAAGCACATTGCTTCTGTGAATTCAGCTCATTTAATCCAGACTGCTATTGTATCTGCTAGTCTTTCTAATCCTCTAACCTGGCTGCTATTCTCTCTCCTCCCCTCTGTCTTGTAGAGAGGTCTGAAGAATGTGTTTGATGAGGCTATCCTAGCTGCCCTCGAGCCTCCGGAAACTCAACCCAAAAGGAAGTGCTGTATATTCTAAACTGTTTTCTCCTTCCCCTCTTTGCTGCTGCTTTCTGTCCCACTACTGTAGAAAATTCATTTAAAAACAAAGGAATAAAATCATCCTGTTTGAAAGCCTCTGCGTCTTTTTACTCACCACCTTAGAGCAATCTCTGTATTAGTTTTTGATCAACAATGCAATATCTTAATAGACTATTTTTTGTGATCAGTAGTCAAGTTGGGCTTGTTTAACTTTCTGCTGCTTGAGTTGCCTGATGCTCAGAGATTTTTGGTTTGAAATTACTGTTGCAAAAGGGAATGTAGTCTGGCATTAAGAATGTCCTCTTGGAGAAAATAAGAAGAGTTTTTAACACTTCTAGATCTTAGTTCTAGATGGAGAAAGCAACACAAACATCTTTTTACTCTTATGATCAATTGTTAATTGTAATTGCATGATGAACTTTATGAAAAAAGGGTGACTTGCTAGTAGAGTGTAATGGGGAAGGGAGGATTCTTTTCTGGTTTTCCTTTGTGTAGTGAAACTTTGTGTTGCTATTGCTTTGGCTGTCAGTGCTGTAGTGGAGTATTTGTCAGTGTGGGGTGGGAAAGATATTGATGTATCTGCTACTGCTTTATGAGTTCATTTGTTACATTATCTTTTAAGAATAGCTTCCATTTTAATAGTTGACTTAAGGTTTGTTAACATTGAGATGTAAAGCTACCACCTTTATATTTTCTTGCTTCTGATTTATTGTTGTGAGGGAAACATACAATTGTGGTTACCTTTAAATTTTGAAATTAAAAATATACAGTTGTTTGTATAAATGGCTGATGAAGCTTTATTCCTGTTGCATTGACTGGCTCTAACTACAGATGTATCAGGTACCCATCTCTTTGCTTCCTTGAATCCCCTTGGTTCTAATTGGTGGGATAAAGGGAGTTCAAAGTGAATATCTACGCAGCTGCCATAACTGTGCTCTTTGCCTGTGCCTTCCATACAGTAAGGATGCCACTGCCTGGGTGGCCTCTCAGTCCTTTTTCACATCCAGTTGTTTCATTTGAATGCAGAGCTGCTGCCCTGTTTCTGTGTGAAGTGTTTCAGTGGCACGTTAACAAAACTCATTGAATGAGCAAATGTGCTTGTTTGCTTTTTGTGACATACATTGGTCTGTAAAAACTTGTATGAAGGGACCATTGTCTTACACATGAGTATCTGTTCCTCTGCTCTGGCATTGCTGAATCCTTCCAGTGCCCTGCCTGGACAAAACTTGGTGAAGTGAGACTGTGATGTTGATATTCAGGGTTGTTCTTAATGTTTCTTCATTTGCCCACTCTTGAAGGTTTGACTGTTTTGAAAACTTGAACTCCAACTCTATTATACTGAAAATCAGACTGCCGATTTCTTCTTTCTACCCCTTTTCAGAAAGGCCTAAAGAATGTGTTTGATGAAGCAATATTGGCTGCCCTGGAGCCTCCAGAACCGAAGAAGAGCCGCAGGTGTGTGCTGCTATGAACATCTCTTCAGAGTCCTTTCTGCACAGCTGGTGTCGGCATCATACTAAAAGCAATGTTTAAATCAAACTAAAGATTAAAAATTAAAATTCGTTTCTGCAATAATGACAAATGCCCTGCACCTACCCACATGCACTCATGTGAGACAAGGCCCATAGGTATGCCCCCCCACCCCGCCATACTAGTTAATTTTGAGTAATTGTGTATTGTCAGAAAGTGATAAGTACTAGTTTTTGTTGTTTAAAAAAAAAAAAACAAAAAAAAAAACCCAAACCACTTTTTTTTTGTTGTTGTTGTTTGTTTGTTTAAGAGCAAGGCATGCTTGTGATGACTTTGTAACAGACTAATTTGTTGAAGCCGTTCCCTGGTTCCAACCTGGAGAGTAATGAGTAATCTGGGACACTTTTGCCCCCCCCCCCTTTTGGTTGGGGGGGAGTGTGTGTGGGGTTTATTTTTTAGTCTTTTTTTTTTTTTTTTTTTTAATTAACTGATGGACAGCCCTTAGGAGAGGAGGACAAATTGATTCCACATTCCACTTCCTAGATCTAGTTTAGAACATGTGTTCCCCACCTGGTGCTCTTAGGAAGGAGTATAGTAAATGCCTCGTTTAATAATATACTCCTTTTTGAAAGTTGCCTTTTCTCTCCACTCTTGAGTAGATCCAGTATTTGATGAAATTCATGAAAATGGGTGGCAGCTGTCTTGCCCCTCCTCTTTTCTAGGATGCACTCTATATGTGACTGTGACTTTCAAGGAAATTTGTTTGCCATTTGCTGTTTTTTTTTTTTTTTTTTTTGGGGGGGGGGTTCATTTCTAACTTCTTTCATTGATAAATGAAGAAAAGTATTGCACCTTTTGAAATACACCAAATGAATTTGGTTTGTAATTAAAAAACATTTTTTTCCCCTGTCAGTCATTGTTTTATATACTTAGCATAGATTTGCAACTCACTGTGTGGTGGTCCTAGAACCCAGCTGAAGACCTGACACACAGAGGAACTATGAGGGGTGGTGCTAGAAGACAGATGCCTGCAGGATGATTGGCATCCTTTCAGGTTTGAGGATGTGGGCCTGCTTCATAAAGAAGCTGGTGGTGGATGGGGTGGGAGAACATTTACCAACAAGGGGATTGACCAGTTGGGAATCCCCTTATTTCTGTTTTGCATATGAGGCCCCCCTAGCCCACTGATATTCTTTAATGAAAATCATGGCAAGAGTCTTGATTGTGGAGACTCTTCATAAGTGTTAATAGGGATTTTTTTTTTCCAGCTTATTTGGTTGCAGTTTCCAGTTTTTAAAAATGTTTAGATAATCTTTTTCCACCTTCCCCAAATCCTAAAACTTGTAGATTCATTAGTGTTGAACCAATGCTTTTTCCTGTCTCAATTCTTTGTATATGCATTCTTTTCAGATGTATTAAACAAACAAAAACCCTTCACAAGCCAGCCTGAGGGTTGTTATTTTCCCTCCGCCTCTTATTTTTCAGGTATTTAGGAGTGGGAACTTGACTCTTTCATAGCACCAAATTCTAACAAATTTTGAAGTAAGATTTTAAAGCTTTATTATTTTTGTTTCTTTACTGGCATTCACTTTGAGATATTTTCCCCTCTGTATGTTCAGGTTTGTGCCTTTTCCCTAAGTTTGACAGGCAGCCCAGAAACTACTTTCCTTACACTGAATAGGTAAGCATCAGTTCTTAGTGCAGAACTGTTCAGGAAGCTCACTGCTGTGTTGTTGGAAGGAAATGTTAGCACATCTCTAATCATTAATTGGAAAGAAGCCAGTTTGCCCTAGGTTATCTGCATTAGTAGTTCTCAAATTTGACTAGTAACTTAACTAGAGTGCAGCTTGAGCATTAGAATTTTAAAAAATTTCCAAATATTTTTAAAGTACAGCTAAGTTTGAGAACCAGTGCTCCTAGGTTGTTGTCCCAAACTGTGACTCTCAGATTTTATTTTAGATTATTGTGAATCTGAGTCACTGATTCTTCCTTCCATCTCCCCACTCCCCAGTGTTAGGTATCAAACCCAGGGCTTTACTCATGCCAGGCAAGTACATCTTATCCTTCTGAAGCATTTTCTTTAGATGGCAAGAATAGTATATTTGCTCTAAGGGCTCTATATGGACCTGTATGAGAATCTTAAAACCTTAATTCATTTAAGGTTGATATTTCGGTTTGATAGTTCTCCGTAGGGAGTTATATTTGCCATAATTCCCACGATTTCATACTGTGCTAGAATTAAGCAGGGTTGTTTGGGAAGGGGTTAGGAAGAGGCGCATCTAAACTTTACCAGTTTTAAACCAATGTATCATATTTATTGTTTACTATACGAGGGAGAGGTATCTGGATCTTACTTGATACCCTGGAGAGCAGAGACGTGTATCCTTACTTGTAGGTCCTTAATTATTACTGTACCCCTGATTTAGGGCAGTGATGGACCTAAGATATGGCTCTGAAAGTAGTCATTGGATGGATACATGATTTTAAGAATGAATGAGTCAAGTAAAGTACATAGGTCACATGGCTGAGTTGATGAATTATGCATGCATCAGAACAAGGGTAATGAAGAACAATTTGACTTTTGCATATCAAAAGAACATGGGTAGCGAGCAGATGAAGAGGCATGGTTTTCTATTTAAATATTGTTTTCTCATTGACTCAACAAATTGTTCAAATTGTTTATAGTAGATAAGTGATGTTGCCCAGGGAGTGTGGTTTAGAGGTTGGAAAAGGAATATTGTGAATGATTATTGCAGACTTAGCTTGAAGCAAAATTTACAGTATTTAGTCTGATACATCATGAATATATATCACTGGTGTTCTAAAATGTGTTTTACTGAAGATCTTGGAAGTAGGCTCTGTAGTTTGTTAAAGGGGAAGAAAGGATTGTGGAACCATTGCAATGTGTCTTTTATCCTGAAGTGACTCTTTTTTCACAGTATAGTCAGAAGACCTCCAATTTGTGTATGTCTAAAATTGTGCCCCCTGCCCCCTTTTGCTTTGAAGAACTGATATTAAATCAGTGGTGTCTTATAGTTGTTATCTATAGAATGAGTATAATAGTGCTATGTCCCTTTTCTTCATTGTTGAGTTTGGATTATTTTCCCCTTTTCTTTCTCCAGTTTTGAGGTTATTAATGGTTATTTGTGTTTTGGGTGCTGAGAAACATAGTGTACTACAGCTTTGTTGAAGAAAGATTGAAACTTAGTCCCTGCTGGACACAGCTGACCCACATTAGGAGTTAATTATGTAACAGGGAAGGGAATAGCATCTCACCTGGAAGTAGCAGCTCCATTGTCTTTAAGGAGGGGCTGGATTCTTCATGATTAGGGTATCTTGATAAATTTTATCAGCAAAGTGGCTTTAAATCACTCTTACTGTAGCTTTCCTTGTTCTCTGTGAGTCTTACCCTATGTTCACTGAACTTCAGAGAATGGTGATTTAATTACATAGAACAACTGAAGACCTCACCAACATGTTATTGCCTAAGTATTGCTTTGAGTCTTTTTACCCAAAGTGGTCCCACTTTTTTTTTTTTAAATGAAAACCCACAGTAAAGAGACTTCAGAATCTGAATATATTCTCCTGCTTTTTTTCTTTTACATTTAAAAATGTTTTCCTTAGTGCATTATAGTTATACATAATAGTGGGGTTCATTTTGACATACTTATAAATGTATATAACAGTTTGCTTCATTTTAGTCCCCAGTACTTATCCTTTCCCACCTTTCTTCCCTCCCCCACCTTTTTTTTTAAAGCCCCATTTTATTAGCTGGTGCTGCCATAATACTGCATTATTAATCATCAGGACAGAAGCTTACTGCAGTAAGCACTTGTTTTTCTCACTTCTGGGACAGTCAGATTTGCCTCTAGGCTTCAGATTGGGCTCAGCTGGACTCTTTCTCATTATGGAGACTATCTTCACAGAGCAAGGTCTACCTGAGTGGACCTTCATGGTGGGCAAAAGAGGGCCAAGTCAAACACATTTACAGTTTCTTATATTCTGTTGTCTAGATGGTATCACATAGCCAAGCTAAAGTTAGTGCCACTCACTTATTCCTACACTCATTTGTAAATTCAGTAAATAGTTTTATTTTCTTAAGGGCTTAAGGCATTGAGAATATAGGAGAGAATAAATAAATATCTCCTGACTTTTGGTTGGAATTTTCTTTCCCTTGTGGTTTTGATAGCTGCATCTTCTTTAATAACCATGTGGTTTCATCCCACTTCAAACTGCTTCCAAGAGAGTCAAAGCCTTGTCTGTGTGTGCATACCCATGACACACTCATTTGTCATTATTTATTGAGCACTTTCTGTATTGGCCACTGGAGACTTTGGAGAATGGTAGTTTCAAGCAGGGTAGATGTAAGCAGGCAGAGATAAAGACTTCCACCTACCATCCCATAGGGTACTCTGAGCATTGTGTTCCATGTGCTGCAGTGTGGTGGTCAGCTGGAGCCCCAGTGGGTATCTGGGCCATTGCCAGCCCACATGGAACCTTTGTGCCAATTGGAAAAGTCCCAAGTCTCTATGAAAGTGTTGTGATAATATTCTGATTTTTTTTTTTTTAAGAACAAGACATTTGGCTGCCATTTGGTATTATAATTGTCATAGTAAATACACAAATCAACTTTGTGAGGCTAAGAGTACTGCCTTAGAGTTGATGCCCTGTGCACCAACTCTATATACCTTGTATATACCTTGCACAGTTTATATTTGGTGTTGTTACTCTGTAATGGACTTAAGTGGTGGGATTTAGAATACACTAAGAACAGCTGGGTGGTGGAACAATTTTATAATGCTTTTTGGTTTATATGCTACATTCACAGAATTGGAAATAGGTAGTATCAGCCCTTAATCTTACACATGGGAGGAAAGTTGAGGAAATATAGGTGACTTGCCTGTCACTGCACAGCTGTATAGTGGCTTAAAACCTACATTCCTGGCTTCCCATTTCGGTGCTGTCTTGCTAGGTCTAGGTTTGCATCTTAGGTCTGCATCTTTGTGTCCTACTCAAATGTGAGCACTGCCTTCCTGCTTTACTTAGTTTCTCCTAGAATCTTTCTGTACTTCTTGTCTGGCTGCCTTCAGGTAATTTTGGCATTAGAATTAGATTTTTCACAGAACTATTAAACTTAGAGGCATATCCAGTGAGTCATTGAAGCCTTATATTGCAGAAAAAGTATAATAAAGGAGTATATTAGGAGTTTTAAGGTCATTTTGCAGATTAGTGGGGTTAAAATGTAAAGAAAGCCTTAAATTTAGTGTGGTGTCATAGTTGTAAATGGACAACCATGAAGTAGAAGTGACAGATATTTCAAGATAAAAGGTAAGCTAAGGGGCTGGGGTTGTGGATCAGTGGTAGAGCGCTCACCTAGCATTGTGAGGCCCTGGGTTTGATCTTCAGCACCACATAAACATAAATAAATAAATGTATTGTGTCCATCTACAACTAAAAAACATTTTTCAAAAAAAGGTAAGTATTTTCTAACCTATTAAAATAGAGTACAGGCTCATAATCAGCTCTCTGCTCCGTGGCAGTGTTTTTCTCAGTGTGAGCTGTGGACACCTCTCAGTCACCAGGCTTCCTGGACCCTGCAAAACTCAGTGAATGTGAATCTCTGAGGGTAGAGATGAGGCGCTTTCAGTTTAAACAGGCCTCCCTCCACTGCGATGAAGTCGGTGGGGGCTATGCTCACAGCATTCCCTTTGGCAGGTTCTGAAAAATAACTGCACTTAGTCAGTGTTCAGATCTCAAAGGTAAGTCAGGTGTCTGGTTGGTCAGCAGTTACACCAGAAGGTTAAAAAAATTCCTTGAGATGCTGAATTTACAGGTATGGGGTGGAACTTGGGGATCAGTCGAAGTTTTAAAAGTTTCTTACATATAATTTTGGCTAGCTATGTTTGGGGACCAGTGCACACTTTGGTGACAGAACAGTTTTGGTGAATATCACCTACAGACATTTTTTTCAATGACTTATTTATTTAGGTACTAAGGATTGAACCCAGGGGCACTTAACCTTGGAGCCACATCCCTAGCCCCACCCTCACCTTTTAAAATTTTTTTTGTTGTAGATGGACACAACACTTTTATTTTGTTTATTTACTTTTATGTGGTCCTGAGGATCGAACCCAGTGTGTCACACATGTTAGGTGAGCACTCTACTGCTGAGCTACATGTAACTCCAGGCCCCCCAACCCTTTTTAAATATTTTATCTAGAGACAGTGTCTTGCTAAGTTGCTGAGGCTGGCTTTGAACTCGACATCTTTCTGCTTCAGCTTCCTGTGCTGCCACTGTGCCCTGCTTTAAAAAGGAAAATAATGCTTGGACCTATTTTAGTCATTTTCTGGACATAGGGTCTGGTTATCACATTTTTATAAAAATTATTTTGGGGACATTATTCTTTAAAGGTTTATCTTTTCTTTTCCCAGTGTTGGGA